CTTACTTTTCCACACTTTCATTTGGATTTGAACAAATTTACTCAGCTTAAGTTTCATATATTCTATCATCCAATTTTTTTCACATTATCTCACATAATTGGGGTTGTACCTAAATGTTATTTTAGGTACAACCCCAATTATAGCCATAAAAATTTTTAATCAAAGACTACTTGAAAGTTTTGATCAATTCCTCTTCGATTCTGGTCAAGGGCACATGCCCTGGTTGCGGGCTCAATCCCCAGTAGGGGTCATGCAGGAAGCAGCCAGTCAATGTCTCTCTTTCATCACTGATGTTTCTATCTCCCTCTCCCTCTCTGAAATCAATAGAAATATATTTTTTTAAAAAGAATGCTATAGAAATATAAACACTTTTTAAAATGTTTACTCTTCACAGTATAACAAAATATGAACAAATTCCTTCCTATATTATGAAACTCTTGGGTTAAGCAAAGAATGTTTCTTGCACAACCTGGTTTCAAAATTAAATATGTATCTTAAAATACAAAAAAATGAAAGGTGACCCCTTGATTTGTGACCCCTAAGAGTGAAAAAACAAACAAAAAACTGGCAGCTTCAGCATTCAGAGTATTCAAAGAATCAGAATCAGATACAGAAGCAGGAAGGGACCTTTGAGCAGTCCAGCTCCCTCATTTTACAGCCAAAGATGCAAAAACTTAGAAAGGTCAAGTCATTGTATATTAAGTGTCTCTAATTTTCTGCCTGTGTTCTTTTCACAACACTTTCACACTTCCCTGTTTAAATAAAAAAATATAGATTTACATTTTATTATGTATGTAATTATCTTACTTACTTCATTAACCAAGAATCTGCACTAGCAACTATAGTCTAGATTTCTTCTACCCATAGAGAAACTTTCAAAATATTTCAGAAATTTCCAGATATTTCATAGAAATAGTCTACAGGATTTTCTAATCCATTTCTTTAGAACTGTGGTTTCTTAACTATTTTTAGTCATGTCTTATTTGACAATCTCATCAAAGCCATGGACCCAAACCTTGGAGGAATGTATACAGGGGTTTCAGAGATTTCAAGGTTTTCAGGTGGAGAGTCTTTACACTAGACCAGTGGTTGGCAAACCGCGGCTCTCGAGCCACATGTGGCTCTTTGGCCCCTTGAGTGTGGCTCTTCCACAAAATACCACATGCGGGCGCGCATGTACAGTGCAATTGAAACTTCGTGGCCTATTCGCAGAAGTCGGTTTTCGGCCTGGGCGAGTCTGTTTTGAAGAAGTGGCGTTAGAAGTGGGGGGTGTTGTTGGTCCGGGCGCGCACGATTCATGCAGGAGTTGAGTGAGCCAGTCAGTCAGCAGTCTCACTGTGCAGTGGTTAGTGGTTGTACTGTTGATATTTGGCTCTGTTTACTAATGAGTTTGCCAACCACTGCACTAGACTATCAAACTTGGCCTGGCATTAAACCAAATTGCCACATATAATTAGACCATGCTAATCTACCATTAAGTATGTTTTCCCAGAACCACACTTTGACATTGACTGCTTTTCTTGAATTGAGGGCCAATAAAAAATAGCATGTGTTCTGCTAGTAGAAAACAATCAACAGTGGTCATTGAATAGTTCATGTGTAAAGATTCACAATATATTTCTGAATTAAAGGAAAACAAGTTTTTCCCTTGACACTCTGGAATGTTTTATTTCAATGAATTAAAACTACATAATTCATTATGTTTTCCTTTTCTGTTTTGTGTCAAATGCAGCCTAGATTTTTACAACATCATTTTACACATTGCCCTTCCCATCCTTGTTGGCTTTTATTCTTTTACTAATGTGTTATGAATGTGTGTTTAATTTTTTTTTTTTTTTGCTTTTTGGAAACATTTATTGTGTTCAAAATAAATAATTTTAGAATAGTGACTATGACTAATGTTTAAGAATAGTTTTTCCCAAAATTCTCATTTAAATTTTTAACTGTTCTACAATGACTTTCTTTTAAAATTTTTAAAATGTAGGTATTATTTACATACACTAAAATCCTAAAATCTTAAATGTTATTAGTTCCATCTGTTTTTAGTTTTAAAATTATAATCTGCTTTAAATTCTTTTTGAAAGCAAGAAGAGTATAAATAAATAAATAATTAGTGGATTCATTCATGAGTTGATCTGTGACAGAATGGCAGGAGGAAACTGGAAATGGGTTGGATTAGAAGTAAGGAGATAAGGCATTATAATAACCTTACAGATGAGTGAACAGTATTAGTCCCAAAAAAGAGGGGTTATAATAAAACTCATATACTATCAAGACTATAAATAACCAGTATAAAATATTAAAGAAAATAAAAATGGCTAAGGATCCCAGTTTATACATTTATTTATCTATAGTGGGTATTCAATAAACATTTATTTATTAATTCAACAAACATTATTATGAGCTTATTTTGAATCAGGTATAAACAAAATCAGATTTCTTGTCTCTTCAAAGCCACAGTTATAGCAGAAATTTAGTCAAGAAATCAGAAGTTACCCAAATCCTTAAACTTCTAATGGTTAATTAACAGAATACTACTGTTTCTCAAGTTGATAAAAATTAGTTTACAACTAAATGATTTATACCATTACTGTAGTGATTAATAAAAACATCTACTTTATAGGCTAGCTGGTTATTTATCTGGTTTCTTGATATAATTAAAATTTGGAAAGTAATGAGTTATATAATGAGATTCACTAAATTTCAAATCAGCTGTATGTTATCATACCCCCTAAAAATTCTATACAAGAAACAAATTGATTCAGACTTAACTTCAAAAATATACTAATCTCACATTAAATTAACAGTTTGGTCTGAGTCTATCAAATACAAAAACACCACCTATTAATATATTCAATTCCCTGGATTTATTTAACTCTGTTTGTAAGTAGCTACACTATAGTTTTCAAATCTTAACCTAAAATTTTTTCAAGGTATCTAATTTCACTTTGGTCCCTTAATTAAATATCTCAAAAAACAAAAACAGCATTCAATAATCTTCCCTGTTGAAACAAACAGCCCTTCTACTATTGCTCTTCCTCAGTAGAGACAATTTATAACAAAATTCCGACTTATTTATATGATTCATTTATTACAAACACATGAGTATCTACTAAGGTTCAAGCATCATGTAAGAGTTAGCTTGTAATAACAAAAAGCTTAATTTAACAAATAGTAATCTACCCATTTTTAAGCACCAATAACACATACACACACACAATACTGCAAATGAACATTTAAGTAAATAAGCAGTTGAATAACAATATTAATATGTGGAAGAATAATCTAATGTAGAATTTTAATTCTTTGAGAAAATGCCATATTCAAAATGAAAGTGGAAGTAAACAAGGTCAGGGTATATAACTGCTAATATTTAATATTTAATGACTAAAAAATAGATTATCGATTTGAAAGTAGATTACTAAAAAAACTGTAAAAGATTTTCTTTTGAGAATACAAGCTTATTAAATACCTACTCCTTTTTTCATTACTGTTTATTCAGTTTCCTGCTTCTATATGAGCACACATATACTACTTCTTCTATACCAATGCCATACAAAGATATTCAGTCATTTAAAGTTTTAAGTTTATTGATTATAAGTAATATTCATGTTTTTTCACTTGATTATAAATTTTTCAGTCAAAACAATAAAAATAGATTACAATTCAAGAGGGATTTATCAACAAACAACAAAAGTTGCTGAGCATGAAAATGTAGCTCAAATTAAAAAGGTGCAAAATCAGCATAAAATATATTACTGCAACATAGTATTTTTAATTTTTTTCACACATTTTTAAATTAGCTAAGTAGTTTATAAAGGAAAATAAATTGCTCTTAAATTCCCTAAATTTACTTAATTCATATCAAAAGGAAGAGTTTCAGTCCAAATGGAACCAAACTAGAAAATAACAACAGTAAACAGAACTGTATCTAGCCTTTTCTGAAAAATGGTAATTTAAAATAAGAAAAACGTGTATGTCCAGTAGTTGTGATATCTTCAGTCCTGAGAAAATAACATCTACATTCAACTATCCCCATCACACATATTTTCTTCTTCCAATTTCTTTGGGCTTTAAAAAATGAATAGACTTTAAATATAAATATATAGAGAAACCACTCATAGGAGCTTTTACATGAAGACAAATTTGAATCATATTCCAAAATATAGTTAATGTCATATTAAGAGGGAAAGGGGAGGAGTGGGGGAATGAAATAAAATTCGTTTGAAAAGATACAATTTAATGTGTGCACAAGATTAATACTGCACAAAACAAACATTTTTAAATTTATTCTTTAGTGAAAGTGGTAATTTAAAAATAGAACTAGTGCCCTAAAATATTAATTCAATTTTATAGAAAAGAGCAAAGAATGTTAGAAAATTGTTTATCAAAAACTGAAGACATCTGGGATTGGAGCCATTCACAATCATACCAATTAAATTAAATCTTGAGGAACAATTATGGAAAACAGAAGCCAAGAGTGGCAAAACTACTGTTGGTCTCTCAATCAAATCCTTTATACACCCGAAGATTAAATTGCTGTCTTTCAGTCATTATAGTTTTAAAAAATGCTTTATTAAGATATCACTAGCAATTTCAATTAAAATACTCATATATATTTTATTTCTAAAAAAAAAAAGTCATATCCTAAACACAAAAGCAAACAAGAGAAACAAGCTTAATACTGATTTTCTCTCTCTTTCAATTATCACTACCAGAAGAATAAAAGGGAAGAAAAGAAAGAAAACCCGAGAGGCGGTCATCCTAGAAGGCATTTCCGCATAAAAAGAGTTAACGACCAGACGACGCAGCTTAACAGTGACAAGCCTCCCAGGTATATCCTCAGCAGACACGTTTCCAGATTAAAGAACCGCAAACAAACTGGGCTGAAACCTCTCTTTGTCCAAGCCCAGCCTCTTCCTCCTGTGATGTCATATTACAAATCTAGCAAGCCTTTATTTTTCACTTCAGAGAAAGTCCATCACACAATACAGCTGGCAACAGAGAAAAAGACCTCGTTCAGCAAGAGCGAACACGCTTAGGAATTTATTTCGGAGCATTTAAAAGACTCTTCTGTTTACCACCACTTGGGATCCACTACCGGAATAACAAAAAGGAAAACTTCATTTTAAAAAAGCAAGAAGTAAATGAGACCAAATTGTGAATGTTTAAGTCTCTGAAAGTCTGCATTGAAAAGCAAAATAAAATTGCTAACTTTAGCTTAAACATTCTGGAGCACAAAGAAACCTGAATTTTGGAATATCATCCAGACTACTAAAATACAAGTTTGCCGGACAAGTCGACTTATTTCATCTTAGAACACGGCGTTTCTTTACCATCTACAATCCAATGGATTGGCTTCACTGACTGCATTTTTTAAAGGTTGCTCATCGGTTAACAAGCCCTGGATTCAAAGATTTTTTGGACACTAGAAAATGAGACTATTTTCCTGTTGAGGAACCAAGTGCAAGCTTTACAGCAACAAATTTCATGTTTCTTTTGGAGATTCTGGAGAGAAAGGAAATATTTGTAAGACCACCCAAAGATCCGAAGAATTTGCAAATACACTGGGTTTTTTTTAAGTGGTCAAAATCTGAATACCAAAGGAGCCTGCTGCCCAAAGGACTTCAACACAGTAAGCTGACCGTGCCTTTAGAATGGTAAGCAATAACAGCTCCCAATGCTCCTATGATGACTCCTTTAAGTACACTTTGTATGGGTGCATGTTTAGTATGGTGTTTGTGCTTGGGTTAATATCCAACTGTGTTGCCATATACATTTTCATTTGTACCCTCAAAGTGCGAAATGAAACTACAACTTACATGATTAACTTGGCAATGTCAGACTTGCTTTTCGTTTTTACTCTACCCTTCAGGATTTTTTACTTTGCAACACGGAATTGGCCATTTGGAGATTTACTTTGTAAAATTTCAGTGATGCTGTTTTATACCAACATGTATGGAAGCATTCTGTTCTTAACCTGCATTAGTGTAGATCGATTTCTGGCAATTGTCTACCCATTTAAGTCAAAGACCCTAAGAACCAAACGAAATGCAAAAATCGTTTGCATTGCTGTGTGGTTAACTGTGATGGGAGGAAGTGCACCAGCAGTTTTTTTTCAGTCTACCCACTCTCGGGGTAACAATACCTCAGAAGCCTGCTTTGAAAATTTTCCTGATGACACATGGAAAACTTATCTCTCACGGATTGTAATTTTCATTGAAATAGTTGGATTCTTTATTCCTCTAATTTTAAATGTAACTTGTTCTAGTATGGTGCTAAGAACTTTAAATAAACCTATTACCCTAAGTAGAAGTAAAATAAACAAAACTAAAGTTTTAAGAATGATTTTTGTACATTTGGTCATATTTTGTTTCTGTTTTGTGCCTTATAATATTAACCTTATTTTATATTCTCTTATGAGAACACAGATATTTGTTAACTGCTCAGCAGTGACAGCAGTAAGGACCATGTACCCAATCACTCTCTGCATTGCTGTTTCAAACTGCTGCTTTGACCCAATAGTTTACTACTTCACGTCAGACACAATTCAGAATTCTATAAAAATGAAAAACTGGTCTACTAGGAGAAATGACTCAAGATGCTCTGAAGTTCAAGGCACAGAAAACTTTATTCATCATAACCTAGAAACCTTAAAAACTAAGATATTTGACAGTGAATCTACAATATAAGCTGCCTGGAATAAAACCACTGGAACTTCACTGGGACAGAACCTCCAAGTTCCTTCAACTGTGAAAAGTTTTCTTGAACCTCAAAAAGAAAATGAGCATGTGGACATTTTAAAGTTTTTAGTATTAAAAAAAGTTGTATTCAATGTGTTAAGCATTCAAATGTATTCTATTCTTGTATACACTCCAATTTATTTTTCTTAGCCATTTTTGATTTGTACCTTCCTCTTCATTAAAAAAATCCCTTAAAAAGTTGTTCAAAGTCTAAAAGTGATTATGATTTAAATCATGTGGTGAGCATCTGTACTGTCTTTGAAGTTTTTAGTAATTTTATACTAAGTGATTTACAAATATTAAATGTTTTGTTTAAGTGATATTTTATTCAACATATATCTAATTTGTTTCATCTAAATTGAAACTACTAATCATGTTTCTTATACTATAATAACATAAATGAGAACAGAGGGTAATTTAAAATAATAAGTGTTTTTGGAGTATTTTTCCAAAAAGTAGCTAAAAATGACTTCCGTAGAATAATAGATACTATTTGAGGATCTTGAGCAGTTACACTTAAAGATAACATTAAGGATTTTGTATTTGCATGCAATTCATAAAAAGCAGATGCTATCTAACTATGAAGTACAGCATGCTTTAAAATTACTATTTGATCCATTTTCTTGCTTTACTGGCACCCAATTTCAAATGTTATGTGATGTTAAAATTGAGGAGAAAACTAATTAAATGTTATTTTGCTAAATAAATGTTTAAAAAATAAAATTCTACTGAAGGTACATTTTCAAGGTATATTTATGTCATACTAAATAACTTGTATTTTAAGTATTTTAGGTTAATGAAGCACCATAAATAGTAAGATAGTAAAATACAATATTTGGCACTTAAAAAGTAATCAATTTGTGTGTTATTTCCCTTCCATCTTTTGATCAAAGCCAAATAAAGAATAGCTAAAAATATTATTTCAAGTTGCTAAAATGTTACTGTATGTCAAAATAATTCATGAAGTAAGGACATAGTTCCTTATATAAAAAGAAGTAAAACTAAAGAGCCAAATAACTAAATATAACTACATTTTCATTTCAGTAAATATAAAAAAGGTACTGCTTTGAGCTATAATTTAGATATGATACACCAACTACACTGAAACTGTTTCTTTTCCCAACATATCTTTATTTTCAAATCCAAGCAGTTCTCCAAAGTTAACTAAAATATATATATTTTTTTATTTGAAAATAAGGCACATAATTAATTTCAATTCAACATTCAACCTATCTGATTTTTACATCAAGCAGTTCTCCAAAGTTAACTAAAATATATATATATTTTTATTTGAAAGTAAGGCACATAATTTCAATTCAACATTCAACCTATCTGATTTTTACATCTTCCTCTTTCAAGAATACAACCTTGGACAAATACTCTGAAGATTTTAACTTGATTTTTTGCTCTTCTCTGGGTTTGTGATGCAATGATTTCAGAGGAATAATAGTCATTTTCTAGAGAAGTAAACTCATTTTTCAATGAAATAACGGGGAAGGAAGGGATTTTCTTTAGGGAACCATGGTTTCCTTTAGATCAGGGTGGGGAATATCAGCAAGACAAAGCCCAAGAAATCATTTGGTCTGGCCCTGCCAAGGCCATTAGGGGTGAGTTAATTAAATATTTGACCAAAAATAGCAGGCTAATTTTTAAATTGGTAATTTTGTATGGCCCCAAAATGATGTTATAGATATCCAAATGGCCTTTGGCAGAAAAGTGGTTCCTCACCCTTGCTTTAGAAGGAGAACAAATTATTAAACAAACAAACAAAACGGCTACGGAAGAAATTAAGCATGGTCCTTTATAGCCCAAAAGAAAGGATATATGCTGTAAACATGTTTTCTTTAATTGACTCCAAAGTACCTTTATTTGATATCATGCTTTGGAAAACAAACACATTTAGCACTAACTATAGAGAGTGGGGCAAAAGTAAGTTTAGAGTTGTGAGTGCACGAAACAGAGTTTATTCTTATATTATTAGTAGTAATTATTGGATTATTTTTTATACATACAACTGTAAACCTATTTTTACCCCACTCTGTATATTTTTGAGTTGAAAAGCAACTAATAACTTACTGATGTGGAAGAAAGAGGTGGTAGTTTGTTAACAGATTTCTCAGAACTTTCCTTAGATTAAAGATCTGTGAGCAAGATAGCAAGATCTTAAAGCATAGCTATTACTTTAAAATGCAAGCCAATTAGCCGTGGCCAGGTGACTCAGTTGGTTGGAGCATCATTCCATACACCAAAAGATTGCAAGTTCAATTCCTGACTAGGCTTGCAAGTTCGATTCTTGGTCAAGGTGCATACAGGAGACAGTCAATAGATGTTTCTTTCCCCTTTTTCCTCCCTCTCTAAAAATCAATCAAAATGTGTCCTCAGGTGATGATTAAAAGAAAACAACAAAAAACACAAGCAAAATAGTTATCAGATGTTATTACTGCACTCAGTGGTGAAATTTTTATTGCCCTCTTGTCAACAGAAAGACGAATCAAAAGTTTTGTAAGATTCTTCACAAAGAAATACGTAACATAACAAGTATTATGTTTCACATTGAGAACTTCAAATTCTGGGCAAACCTTACCTACAGGGATGGAAGGAGTATTACAGTTATTTTCCTTTGTTAGAGTTGCACTTGAAGGTAAATTATATATTCCTTTCTGTTTCTCCTTTACCCAGAAAACTTATATTAATAAAACTGAGAATTTACTTTTTGTTTCCTTAAAGTGACAGTACCAAGCCCTCCTTCCCCCCCAAAAATGGTGCCCACTGTTCTCAACATTTTTATAAAAGATTATTTAACTAATCTTCCTCTCCACATTAACTCCCTTCAAAGGAATAGAAGTAAGATGAGGACATTTCTGAGTTGTGGAAAACAGCTTTCCAGACCCCTAATGATTAGTTCTGAACATAGAAATTACCTTTTCTGAGAAAATACAAGTAACTAGTTTACCAAAAGAATGTATGAAAATATATGCATTGTACATAATTTATCCAACAGAAAATTTAAAGAAACTGAAGATACTATTTTATCAAGGAGTTTTGACTTTATATTCTACATTCAAAATACTAAAAGCAAATTTGAGGTATAAATCCCAATTATAGATATTGGTATTTAAAAAAATTAGTCATTCAGTTGAGGAATAGAAAATACAAAATGGAACATTAGCAAACTTGATCTCCCCAACCGAGAAACATTTAATTTATGAATGGTATGACGCTAAGAAGAGACAGGAGCAATAGTTTTTTGGTCCTGCAATTCTGGACCTCTGATGAACCAGGTGACCTGATCTTTTGTCAATATATTATGTTACTATTGCCTAGCAGAATCTTTACTACATCCCAACATCCAAACTACTTTAGTGCCTACATGCCAATCTAACCATTTGTCACAAAAGAAGAAAGATGTGACCTAGTGTGGTTGTTTATTCAGTTGTGAATTTTTATAAAGAAAATTTTATAAACAGTGCTTATTAGTACATGAAGGTAGTCCCAAGGTAAATTGTTTTTTAAAAAGCTCTTTTCATCAGCTGGCCTGAGAACAAGTTTATCTATTTATAATATGAATTCTAAGAAATAAGTTCCAAGTTAAAAAGGACTAATGGACAGACCTAATGACACAGAACATATTTAAATCAACCCAAATATTTAATAACCAACAATATTTAATTAGCAAAATTTTCCAGAGATCAATATATACATAATCCTAAAACCACTAATTCTCAAATTTCTACTTTATCTTTCCTCAGCTTTTTTACCTGATGTCTGCTATGCATTTTTGACAATTTTATAAAAGTACAAAGAATATCATTTAAATAGGGCAATAGATCAGAATAATAAGAGAATACAAAATTAATTCCAGGCAAACTTCTCTACGAAGCCTTCCCCTTTCTTCCCTCTCTCAAAAATATTTACTTCAATAACTGCTTAACAGGGTACAAAAGTATTTCTTTCATCACTTTGTGCAATGGCAGTGGCAAAAACAGAATCCAAAAGACAGGACCCCAGAAGTAGAGACAACTAATGAGTTTAATAATTAGTTTTCAAACTCAAAACCTGCTTTACTTTAGAAATTCACTCAAGTAGTTTTTGAAAATAATTAAAGGTTAAGTAAATATTATGAATAAAAGACAAATATGTATAATATACTTACAGCCAAGTTACAGTTAATACCTATAGGGTGAATGTGCAGAGTTCTATTATCTTCCTATCCAAATGACTTCTGGTAAATTCACCATTTAGAACTGAAAGAGCCTAGAAGTCGCCTGAAACAACTACCTCACCTTACTTAGGCTGAGGAAACGGAAGAACTAAAAGGGTAAGTAACTTGCACAGGGTCACATAACAAGTTAAAGTAAAGCCAGGATAAGAACTTGGGTTTTTTGTGGTTTTAGTTTTATTATTTTTTGACATGTCTATTTCTTTAAGGTGGCAAGGGAAGTACCACATGCAAAGGCCCTGTGACAGAGAACTTGGTGTACTGAAAGGATTAAAACAGAGCCAAAGTAGCTGGAGATGTAAGATTGAGATCATACATGTACTTATAGGCCATGATAAAGCCATGTTAAGATCTGAGTTGTTGTAGAAAGTCCTGAAGGCTTTCAAGTAAAAGCAGAGAAATGATCAGGTTTAAAATTCTAAAATGATCCCTCTGATTACAGGGAAGAGATGCATTTGTCTTCAGCAAAAAGTAAAAAAGGCCCTAACCGGTTTGGCTCAGTGGATAGAGCGTCGGCCCGCAGACTGAGGGGTCCCAGGTTCAATTCCGGTCAAGGGCATGTACCTTGGTTGCGGGCACATCCCCAGTACGGGGTGTGCAGGAGGCAGCTGATCAATGTTTCTCTCTCAGCGATGTTTCTAACTCTCTATCCCTCTCCCTTCCTCTCTGTAAAAAAACCAATAAAATATATTGTAAAAAAGAACCACAATAAGAGTTATATTTATGCAATTTAAATTAAAAGAGCTGTTCTTATCCTTTATTTTGATTACATCCTTTCTTATTAAGATAGCGTGTCTTTTTTTGAAATGATGGTAATGATAGATGGAAAGGATTTTTTAAAAATTATTTTTTTACTGATTTTTAGAGAGGAAGGAAGAGAGAGAGAGAAACACACATTGACGTGAGAGTGAAAATCAGTTGGCTGCCTCCTGCACCGCCCCTTCCTGGGATTGAGCCTGCAACCCAGGCATGTGCCCTGACTGGGAATTGAACCAGCAATTTTTTGGTAAAAGGGAGATGCCCATCCAAATTGAATGAACTACATTGGCCAGGGCTGGGAAGGATATTTTAATGTCATTACTTAGCACAATTAAGCCAGTAGCCCTTGTGGAGAAACTAGTTCCTTCATATATTGATGGTGGGAATACAAAATGATATAATCCTTATGACTGGAAATTTGGCAATATCTAACACACACACACACACACACACACACACACACACACACACACACACACTCACTATTTAACCTAGCATTCTCATTTTTTGGTATTTACCCTGAAGACACACTTTTAATAATATAAAAATACATA